CGTACATGGTTTGTACGAGAGCAAGCTATACGGAAGTAGCTGGAAAGTCCAAAAAATTTGATAGGGGCGTGCCGCGACAAATCACCAATCTGAAGGGTCGTCCATCAAATTGTAGCTTGTTTTATGTGATAATAGCGACTCGTTTTCTACATTTGCGCACGTACAATGAAGAGCGGATTCTTCTCTACAGTCCACGAAGCTTTGCTGGATAGCTCGACGGCGATAGGAGCACTACAAACAAACTGTGCAGAAACTTAAACTGTGCTGAAGGAGGGTTATGGCAACTTTCATAAGGTCGACGGCTGGCCTGGTTCTTCCGCATAACCAGGAACTGTTACAGTGGAAAAGCAGTCTTAACATTACGCCAAAATTCACCAAAAACTCCAAGACATGTGTCCAGCATTCCTCCTCATTATAAAGGGGTGGACACATCTCTGAAAGGTTTCCTGGACGTACATCGCATCGCACTACTTCACAAGTTGGACCCGCTGGATTTCAGAGTGATTCTGCGAACACCTTACTTAGTAGACCTTTTGGTCTATCTATTGTCACATTTCTGGCGATCTCGTTAGCTTCCTTGAAGAGAAATGCATCAAACCCAACATGATGCCAAATCGACCTTTGCTTCAGCATTTTGAACAAACCTTTCCAGTAAAACGGTTCCTTATAGAGAAAGGTTCGCGCATTCGAATGGTTTTTTAATCAGCTTGAAAGGTTTAGTTTGATGCCAGATTACATGCATCTTAAAATTCGGGGTCGGAAAACGAAAGCCCGCGCGCCCTCACAAACCAAAAAAACACCTTTGCTAAAATTTCTAAACTTTCCGAATTTCAACGTCTTGCTAGCATTTTGGGAGTAGACGAACCTGCGAAAAGGATAAGTTGCATATGGATTGTCACGTCGATAGAAACAGGTCCTGGGTGGTATGCCGGGCGTAGGTAGAATATAGCGATGCTGAATTATTTCTCGCAGCCTCTGCTGATTCTGCTGACCGCTATGCATTTTGTTGTTGTGCATCCCCTGTCCTCCCGGAACTCCTGGAGTGTGCCAGTCTCGTGCTTTTGTGCCAGTATGTTGCTTCAAATATTGCTGAGATCTGCCAATCCTATGCTTCTCATTTCGCGCCTTCCAGGGCGCGATCAATAGATAAATACCTAGGCATTTTACAAGGTCGATAACCATACGAAGGCGGCTATATGCAGCAATTCGGCGGCGCTGTATAGAGAGGTAGGATCAAGTTTAAACTAACCAGAATGTCGCTCTGAAAGCTTCCATTTAGATAGGATTTCGACGAAAGTGTTCTTTTTTTGCTCGCCTTGGTGTACTGTTTCGGCTCCAAATTGCTGATGGTGAACACAGGACCCCTCAAGACTACAGAGCTGTGTATCCAATCCTTTACAGGTTTGATTTCAATTTTAGGTATTTTCGTTTTTTTTTCGAGGGGTAACAGTTGAAGTTTTTTATGAGCTTGTTCTATTAGGCTGCCGGTGAACTCAAGCGAATTTTCAGTTCAAATAACACTTTGCGGAATTTTTTTCCTCACTTTTCATCCGGTATTCTTCAAACGTGTTAGGGCTGGGCACGGGTTTATTCATGCGTTACTCAATGCGATTAATTGCTGCTTGTGTTTCTTTCTTCTGCATATCATTTTTTTTCGTCCTATTGTCCACTTTTGCAAGCAGCGGTGACGATGTGTGTTGAAGTCTTGTTCTGTGACACTTCTGAAAAACCCGTTATTGACCTTCTAGGTACTCTGGAATTTATGAGGGCTACTCCTTTACAGCTGGCCAAGACCTATCATAAAAAAGACTTACTGACGTTGGAATCATCAGCTGATGAGAATTTTTAAAGAACTAGTGACAAGAAACCTCTTACCTTATTATTTTTCAGGACACTTCCTGGTTATGGAATAAAAGAAAATGTACGTGAAGTAGCCCAGGACGGAGTACTCAAAGGTCCCATTCAACTGCAAATAAAAGCTCTTCATGAGGTGTACACGGCTGCATCACGGGCAGAGTTGACAGACGCAGCTATTCGGCATCTCTGCCACCTGATACAGGTGCGCGGCGCATCATTTTGAGAGAGGAAGGTGGGTTTACTGGCGTTTTTTTTCTTGGGAACAATTCTTACAAGGTCTCTTCAGGACATGGAGCGCTTTTTCGAAATGGTTTTCTGCATGTTGTAGGGGCTCATGCGAGGAACACAGAACCCATGATCCATTTTTCCTGAACGCCTCCAGGAATGTCAAAACAGTGGTGAAGAAATGGTCCAGAGTTCGATCCCCGGTGATGACTAATTTTTGCAATATAGTTTGGCGCCCCAGATTGCCGCCAAATGGCGCCATCGTCGAGAATAGATGTCATTGTCGTGTTTTGCGGCAATTTGGAGGCGCCAACATAAATTGCAAAAATTTGTCATCACGGAGGATCGAACTTTGGACCATTTCTTCTCCCCTGTTTTGACATCCTAGGGTTCAGGAAAAATGGACCATGGTTCTGTATTCCTCACATGAGAATCTACAAAAACTAGGGAACCATTTTGAAAAAACGCTCCATGTCCTGAAAGACCCTCCTTGTTAGTGTGTGATAGTATTGAAATATATGCATGCTTAGGTTTACTATGATGATATGGAACCCACGTTGGCAAATCGCTTGTTCGATGACCTGCAGAACCTCGTACGCATCAAAAAGAGCCCACCGCAACTGAATCAACGCATATCGGTGCCTGTTGGGAATATAATTCTTCCTTCCATCCAGCTGACGAGATTCCCAATGGTCAAGTTGGTCCAAACTTTCTCAGCGCATTTTGTCAGTCTGCAGATAGATGAAGGCGAGAAATGTATTTGTTTAGTGATCCTATACTTTGTCCACTTCCACCTCATTTGGCTCCTACAGTTATCCCAGCCAAAGCTGGACAACCGCAGCTGTTCATCTACTCGCCATTTCAGCAGAAGAAGGCATCGAATGGTTAGTGCGCATCTTATTATTGTATTTTCTGAATTTTAACTAAATGGTCTCGGTTTTGACTCACTTTGCTGCTTACTATTGAGAAGAAATGACCTCATTCGAGGTAGAGGTGGAATTTCTACTGTCCAGGTAAAAATCTGGGATATCCATAACCAACAAATGGGGCCATACGTAAAGTTCTCAGTGTGGAAAAGAGCCGCGGTGTTCGAAAATACCTGAGTACGGAGTGGGATCCCCGTAGATGAGGGCCATG